AATGTATTAGTATAAAATGGTAAGACATGCTCTAAACTTTGTAAGGCATTCAACGAATAATCTGAAGTGGAAAGTAAAGATTAGGTTCATCCTAAGTGAAATTTTAAGCTTTGTTTCCTTTAATATTATATATCCAATCTCTAAACCTAGTTATTTAGTAAAAACGAGATTGTGATCATGAAACTAGCATGAATTCTTAAGATATAAATAAATCATTTAACAACTCTAAATCAATTCTTGGATCTCCAAACTGAGATGAATATTAGGGGCAAAACATGCACCACTCATAGCTTCATCCCTCTTGAATGTATTTATAGTGAAGAATGAGATTCTGGTTGTTTTGAGATGTTTTGCTTGTTGGTAGTGGAAAACTGTTGACGAAATTTTAAAATATAGTCATTGTAGTCATTTTTCTAATAATCAAGCAGGGGAAGTTGAAAGTCATGGGTTGGGCAGTCGAATGCCATACCAAAATTTGAACTTTCTAGTTATTTTCTAAGAGGGTAGTTGATTGCCTTATAAAGTGCAATCTAATGCCCTAGGTTATTTTGCACTTTGTATAAGCATTTAACATGGGTAGCTGAATGTTATGTTTTAGGTAATCAAATGTCCTACAAATTGGTCAATTCTATCTAAAAGTTCTTCATGGGTATTCAAATTCTCTCTTTGGGTAGTCAAATGCTTACATTTTTTCGGCTCAAAAACTCATTTCAAGATAACTAGACTTAATATTAAGCATAAGGTAGTTGAATGCTCTTCTTAAACTTGCCTTCTTTGTTTTTTCTTCTGTCAATAAATTATTTTAAAAATTTTGTTTTTATATATTTTAAATACATGTTTTATATTTATATATTTTAATTTTTTTGTTTTATATATCTTAAAAATTCAAAAAAATTAAACAAGAAAATGACTTGATTGCACTTAGAAGTGCAATACTTAAATCCCTTAAATGTTGAAAAATGCCATTTTATGGTATTAATATTTGACAATTTGAAAAATCTATTGTTAGAGGTTTAAAACTTGATATTCAATTACAATAACATCTAGTATAATATCCATAATCTTCAACAGTCAATTGTTAGCTGAAATTATAGACCAAGATAAAGTAATCTAATTAACATGGAGTGAAGAACTCTTTGTTTAGAAAAAAGGCATAGACAAGATTTGAAGCAATAGGGATGGGCGTGGAATTAACAAGGAAATAATTGAAAGTGCTTTTCCTAATCTTTCAAATTAGGGACCAAATGAAAAATAAAAACTACAAAGAATAAAAGATTATTCTCTCCAATAATTATTTATATTTATATAAAAATGAAAGAGATATTGCTTACAAACTTCTCACATATTACATGCAGGAAGAACTAACATGTCTTACAAAGTATAACCAAAAATCCTAGTATACATATATATGGTCTATGAGAATCTCTTATGTAGCATTTGATCAAATAAAATAACAAACCACAAGAAGCCAACTGTTGTTCTTTGTAAATATATGTAATTAGACTTTATAAGTTAAGTTTTGCTTTTGTACAAAGTGCATTGGTGCCCACTATTAATTAGCATAATAGGGCCACCACCTCCACTTGCACCAAATCCTTTTCATCCACCACTTCCACTTCCACCAAATCCTTTTTCTCCGTCATTGCCCATAGCGCTAACTCCACTACCACTTTCACCTGTTGTAGCACCACTATCACCCTGACCAAGCCTTTTTTTTGTTACTCCACCTGTGCCACTAGCTCTAGTATCAAGACCAGTCTTACCACTTTCAGCACTATTTCCACCAAAACCCTCTTCATCTTCCTTCTACTCCACCTCCAACACCACCTTCACTATAAAAGTTACAAAGAAGAAAATAATATTCTCTTTGACAAATATTGATTTTGATATCAAGCAAACACAATTTGTTACTTACAAACTTCTCACACATTGCATGCAGGAAGAACTAACTTATGTTACAAAGTATAACCATAAACACTAATATATATATATGTATATATGATCTATAAGAATATTTTATGCAGTGTTTGATCAAATAAAAGAATACACCATAAATAGCCAATTGTTGTTATTTGTAAGGATATGTAATTAGAGTTTAGTACTTGAGTTTTCTTTGTGTGAAAAGCACATTAGTACCCAGCATCATTTACTACAATAGAGCCGCCACCTCCACTACTTTCAGCTCCACTAAATCCTCCTCTTACACCTCTACTAAATCATTTTCCTCTATCTCTGATAGTAGCTCCACCTCCAACACCAATTCTAGAATGAACACTAGCTTGCCACTAGTACCACTATTTCCAATAAGCCCTTCTTATCATCCTCTTGCTCCACCTCCAAAACTAGCTCCAACACCACCTCTACTAGAAAACAGCAATGTTGCAACTTCCACCACTTTCATCTGTAGCATCACTTGCAACACTTCCTCTAACAAGCCCTTTTACTGCTCTTGCTCCACCTCTAATGTTTTTCTCCTTCCGTCTTTGCTCTTGGCAAAAATGAACTATAAAGCACATGATTGTCAACTTCATTGATATTATGGCCATCTGCAACTACAAGACCATCTATAAGAAGAACACAAAAGAAAGTACCCATAAAAAGAATAAGCGAAAAGACCCATCACTATCTAAAATCCAAAGCCAAAGTTAACTCACAATAGTCAAATAGTAATATCAAACAAAAATAAAGAACTTTGAATACTGTTTCAATTTTTTGGATTTTTTTTTGTTTTTTGTTTTTTTTTGTTGATTACTTTATCAAGAAGTGAATTATATATAGAGACGGGTTAAATTTACATAGAAACTAAATAAAAGGCTAAGCTCAAAGTAAAGGAGTAAAATTCGTTGCACCATTCACTTAAAAATAGAAACCATATTGTTAACCATTCAACTTGTCAACAGAATTTCTTCTCTATTTCCTTTCTTCAACCAACAATCAAACAAACAATATGAATTTTTCCCATTATTCCGTACTTTTATTCCATCATGAAATTAATAACAAAAACATCTATTTTGGAAGTTAAAATAATGCTTGTAGCTATTTAAAGCAAACCAAAGCAACATAAACTTTGGCAACACTAAGTCCAAATAAATCTTTATACAATGTTGCATGATCATATCTGGCAAAAAATTTTGTTCATTGGGCAATGATTGGTCAAGTCTCAAGCTTATCTAGGAACAACAATAAAGATATCTATAATGATGTAGCAAACCAAAATATCTATATCAATTATATTATTCTTATGCCACAAACACTTGATAACAAACTAGGATCAAGAATTTAATGAAACATATTTTTTAGTGAAACACATTTTTTTTAATTCCATATTCATAACTTTGCTAAATAATTTAGATTCAATTGTGGTTTTAAGCTATTTCTTCTTCACAAAAGTGCGATTAAAAAATTAACTAACTTTGAGTATAAATTATCAATCAACTAAGTATGAGTCGAGAAATAGAGATTTTAATTTAATATGCAATAGTCAAGCTAAAGACATTAAGATACAATGTATCAAATAGAAAACTACAATAAGAAATGTATAAAAATGTCAATGGGCAGAATTATGAAATATAGGAGTCAGACAGTAAGTGGTAGGCTATACATGATAGATGTATTAATGTCCTTTTAGACATCATAAAGAAAATATGGTTAAAAATATAAGGATGCACACAAAAATTATATAAACTACACCATAAGATCCAACAAACCACTCGAGCTTTGGTTGTTGATAGGAATACTTAACGCTTTGACTTGATAACTTTGAGTGACAGTAATCTTTAACTAAAATAGTCATTTTCACAAGTTTAGAACTTACACTAACCTATTAATAGGTTATCTCAAAATGTTGTTATTTTATTTTATTACTGGTACAATGAATCAATAGTTGATTCAAATTTTATCTTATTGATTGATAAGATAGTCAATTTTTGTTACAAGTTTATAATGACCACATTTTTTGATAAAGAATTAAATGTTGAGGGAATTGATCATGACTACGATTCAAAAATTATTTTAGATTTGACTAATAGGATTTATGATGAAGATCATAATGAAAAATATATGAATCAAGAGTGTATAGAGTCATTTATCAAAATAGAGTTTCAATCGTCCTAAAAAGCATTAGAGTACTATACTAAGCATGCTAAACTTGAAAGATTTGGAATTTGAAAGAGTTGTAAAATGAAATCTTGAAAAAACTCAAGTGATTCAACATGAATTTATTTGTTTAAAGATAGGTTATCATGCCAAAAGTACCATGAATGGGAAGATCAAGCACCATGGATCAGACACGAGTGGGATGCAAAGGCATTATTTATGTGTCTAGGAAGTTGATGACAAATGGTTAATTTTTAGATTTGTAATAAACAACCTACTCTAACATCTACTAAATTTTTTTGTGCTCATAGGAAAAAAACTATAGTTTAACAAAATAATTGATGGTGTTTTTCCAAATCTTTTAAAATGGGAGCCAAGTGAAATATAAAAGCTACAGAGAAGAAAATAGTGTTCTCTTTGATAAATATTGATATTGATATCAAGAAGATACAAAATTACAAACTTCGCACGCATTGTATGTAGGAAGAACTAACCTTTGTTACAAAGTATAACCATAAATCCTAATATATATATTACCTATAAAAATCTCTTATGTAGTGGTTGATCAAAAAAAAGAATGCACTATAAATAGGTAATAGTTGTTTTTTGAAATGATATTTAATTAAAGTTTACTACTTGACTTTTTATGTTAAAATTACATTAGTGCCCTTTTGCTATAGTAGTGCCACCACCACCACCATTTCCACCTCCACTAAATCCTTTTCCAGCACCTCTATCAAAACCTTTTCCTCCATCTTTGCTAGCAACCCCAACTCCACCACCACTTGTACCAATAGTAGCATCTTGCCACTTCTACCAATCCTTTCCCCTACTTCACCTCCATTACCAATGCCACCACCAACACCACCATTGCCACTTCTAACTCTATTTCTTTCAGGTGTTCCTCATCTTTTTCCCATTTTTTCTTCAAAACTAGCTTTAACACCACCACCACTAGTAGCACTAATGTTAACACCACCACCATTTGCACTTGTAACAGCACTTTCAACACCACCTCTTCCAAGCCCTTCTACTCCTCTTTTTCTACCTTCAACACTAGCTCCACTAGTAATGCCATTGTTGGCACTTCCACTGAGTTGCCCTTCCACTCTTCTTTTTGCTCTATCTTCAACACGAGCTCCACCACTACTTCGAGAAGTAGCACTAATGCTACCACCTCCACGAAGACTACCACCACTTTTTAATCCACTTTGTACTCCTTTTGTTAGGCCTTCACCACCACCTAATCCACCTTGCCCACCACCAACATGGATTCCACCACCAGCATTGAGGTGATGTGAACTAGTAGTAGCTGCACCAAAATTGCCCAAACCACCACCAGCTTTAAGGCGATTTGAACCAGTAGTAGCTACATTGAGACTGTCTAAACCACTATCAGCTTTGAGGTGATGTGAATCAGTAACAGCAACACCGAGACCACCCAAACCACCATCAGTTTTAAGGCGATGTGAACTAGTAGTAGCTACACTGAGACTGCCTAAACCACCATCAGCTTTGAGGTGATGTGAACCAGCAGCAGTTACACCAAGTGCGCCCAAACCACCACCAGCTTTGAGGCGATGTAAACTAGCAATAGCAACATTGAGACTGCCCAAACCACCACCAACATTGAGGCGATGTAAACTAGTAACAGCATTAAGATCGCCCAAACTAGCTGTAATCCTGCACCATGATGTAAAGCATGCATGACAACTAGTCCAGATCCAGTTGTTAAAGACCTCCTATGTTTTTTACTTTTTGTCTTGGCCTTAGGCAAAAATGAACTATGAAATACATGGTTATCAACTTCATTGACATTATGATCATCAGCGACTGCAAGACCATCCATAAAAAGAACACACAAGAAAGCAACCATAAAAAAATGAGCAAAAACACCCATCGTTATCTAAAAGCTTCAGCAAAAATTAACAGACAATAGTCGAATTGTAATGTCAAACAAAATAAAGAATTCTGAATATTGCCTTAATCTTTTGAATATTTTATTTTTTCTATTTTTTTCTTGTTTGTTACTTTATCAAGAAATGAATATTTATAGAAAAGGGATGGATTTACATAGAAACTAAATGAAAAGCCAAGCTTAAAGCATGAGAGTACAAATCGTTGCACCATTCTTTTAAAAATAGAAACCATATTGTAAACCATTCAGCTTGTCAATAGAATTTCTTCCCCATTTCTTTTCTTCAACCAATAACTGAACAAACAATATTTTTTTTCCATTATTCTCAATTTTGATTCTATCATGAAATTAATAAAAAAATATTTTTCATGTTAAAACAAAGTGTGCATTGTTTATATAGTTAAATAAAACCAAAGCAAGATCAACAATGACAACATTTAGTCTAAATAATTATCAACGTTGCTCAGCCTCCTTATGTAGTAAAATTTGCCAACATTATATGAAGCGATCAAGTGGTAAGCTTACCCAATGACGATGATATAGACATTTCTAGTGATATATCAAACTAAAATGGCTTATCCATTACACTTTTCTTATGCCACCCAGGCCAAATAACTAACTAGGGTCAAAGCCCTCTTTAGATTCTAAACTTGAAGGGCATTATGGAACATATAAGCCATCGTAGCTCACTACTAACAGTGAATAAGTAGACAAGGAAAGGAAGAAAAAGTGGTGTGAATAAGCATAGAATGAGGGTGAATTTAGATAAAAGGAAGTTAATAATTAAGTTAGCAAATAATAAGTCTATGTTGTTAAAAAAGCAGACAAGGGATTTTAATCATAATTATTGGTCGTTTTAGTCAAAAATAGGGATTGGATCAAAAATGCAATTTATAAGAGGATGATGAGGATCAATATAGAGCATATGTTAGAGTTAAAATGTCAGATTTTATAGACAAGCCATAGAAGCCACTCACTAGGAAAGTTAAGGTTCTGCTTGGCATTTTTAGGCCTTATAGGTGCACAACATGAATTTCCATTTTTACATTTTAAAATTTTTTTTAAATTGAATTTTTATGGCAAATAAGTCATTAAAAATATATGTAGAGCCCTTTTTTTAATTAAGGTATATCAATATCAAAATTGAGTTAACTCTATTTTTAAGGGGGTAAAGTCCTGAATAAACCTAAATTCTTTTGAATTAAAGTCTATATATGGCTATGTATGGTCAAAAGCAATTATTCTATGCCATGTTAAAATCATGTCAACCTCTTACTATAGATATTGTATATAGCTATATATGACAATTATGAATATAAATATATTAGTTGAGGCTTTTTTTTTTATAGCTATATATGATAATTTTGAATATAAATATATGAGTTGATGTTTCCTTTTAAGCTATTATTTATTAAAAGAATCTTGAAAGGCTTAAGAGGTTGATAATTGTCAAACATTGTAGAATGACTTTTTTACTCCATAAATAATATAAATATTATAATGAACCCAATATTATAAAATGACTTTTTACCTCTTGATTAGTATTAACCAAAAGGTTTAAAGCTAAAAATACTAAAAAGAATATTCCAAACTTTAATGGTTGCTATTAGCTGACTATTAAAAGGCTATGTTAAAGAGTTTAGAAAAATAAGAGTTCGATTAGTTTTTACTCAGGAGCAAAAAATGAAAAAAAAGGAAAAGAAAAATAATGATGCGACCTCAAAATAAAAAATTATTATATGTCAACAATACCAAATCCAAGAAAATTAAAAAAATAAAGAGAAACACAATAAAAAAATATTATGTAGGGTTGAAATGAATCTGCATACATACATTAATCGAATAGGAAAATAAATAATCAAAACAAATTATAAAAACCTAAAAGAAAGAAAGCCACTGTCTAAAGCGCCACCACCAAATAGAGAACCATTATTCTTTAAACCCAAGAAGCCATAATGACTTTATGAAATATAGTTATTTAGACTTGTTTTTAGTGCTTAAATAATTTATTTTTGCATTGTTCTTGATTAAATAAGCTTCTTTTTCCTCATAATATGCTTAATTTGTTGTTTGGTAGGAAATCTTGAAGAAAAGATTGAATCTTTTTCAATATTAAATTTTTTTTTGAAAGTTCTTGATCAATCTTAGATGATTCTTGATACATTTAGATCAATCTTGGATGGTTCTTGATTTGTTCTTGTTGATTCTTAGAGTTCTTCAAAAATCTTGGAGTTAACTAGTGAAATTATTCAAGATTTGTTTAGTCGAAACTCAAGACTTAAAATTGGATGAATCCGAATGAAACATTCATGAAAGTCATGCATGAATGAAGAATATGCAAGTTGGGCTACATAGGGATAGATTTAAATTTTAGAGAATTAAATGCAAGATCATGGTGTTCCATACAGGTGTACATGAATAGGATCATTATGGGATTACATGGTGAAACATGACTTTGATGTTGATTTGACAATATGACGTGGCATTGGAATTTAAATATGTTTGGAGAGCAATAAACTAAAATTGGACTATTCTTATTCTAAGTGGGAATTCAAAGTCTAAATATGAGAATTTTAAAATTTGAAATTTAAATCTATTCCTATTTGATGTAGAACTTGCAAGAGACTTTTAAAAATGGGATGGAATACTAAGGGATTTAAATTCAAAATTTAAATTTTTTTCAAGAAGACTCTAACTTGAAGCTAAAATCCTAGAAGTCTACTCGATGCACAAAACCTACTTCAAGTTGAAGAATTGTTTCTAGAAACTATCAAGGGTTCAAAAGTAATTACAATTTATTCTTTTCTCTTAAATAAACCTAACTCTCCAAGACAAAGTTCTAAGAGACCATCTCATGACCAAGAAGAATTTTTACTTAAGCAGCTTCAAGAACAAGCAGCTAAAAATTTCAAAACTTTTAAAGCTGCTCAAAGTCAAGAAAAAAAAAGAGACTTAATCTTCAAGAAAACTATTCAAAGTCATGATTTGCTAAGCTACTTAGAAGAGATACTAGCCAAACCACATTTTTCTTCCTTCAAGGAAGGTTAAATCGCACATCATTTTTATCTTTGAAGATATAAGTCGACCAAGAAAATCCAAGTTAGCTTAGGCCTAAGGAAAAACTATGATTGGGTTGATGGCTCAATCTCTAGTTATTTAGCTTTTCTTTATTATTGTTTTTCTCTTGCAAGCTTGTTTTGGTTGATGATTGCAGTGATAGACCGATCTCTCTATTTTATTAGATTTCTTCTTATTTTTTTTAAGATTTTTATGTCCTTAAGCTTTTCTTTAGTTTGATTTTAGTTTTATGGAAGTTTGTTCTAGTTTTCAAGTTACTTTAAGTTCTATTTGCTTTCAATTCCAAAGATTTTTTATTCAAGCTCTTATTCTCTACATCTATAATTTATGATTCATTTTGGTTCTCGTTTATGCAATATGTTTACTAGTTTCTCTTTAATTTGTTGTTTGTATGATTTATTAATCATGTTTAATTCATTTTGAATGTGTTTATAATTAATATGATTTGGTTTTAAACTTAAGTGTTGGTTAGAGTTTAATTCACTTTAAATTGATTAGTTACATATTTTAGGGTTAATTGGGTTTTAATTAAGTTTAATTCAATCAAGTTCAGTTTAATTCATCTTATGTTTTTTGATTGCATGTTTTAAAGTTATTTAGGTTCGGTTTTGCTTAATTGAGTTGAAATCAAGTTTAACTCATTGTAATTACATGTTTTAGGATTAATTAATTTAATTTGTTTTTCTTTTTTCGATTTCAGTTTATTACATTAGTTTATGATTATTGCATTTTCATTTAGTTAATTTGCATGAGTTTAAGTTTAATTGGTTTAAGTTACAACTAGTTCTAATTCAATTCGTCTAGATTATTTGATTTAGAGCATTGTTTGCTTTGAATGTTCAATTTTGTTTTATTTGCATGACTTTAGGTTTCATTTGTTTTAATTGCAGTTGGTTTACTTAATTCTTGTAGTTTAATTTGATTATTATTTGCTTTCTTATGTTTGCATGTTTAATTGTTTACTTAGGTTACCTCATTAGCTAATTCATAACTTTTAGTTCTTAATTTCAATTAAAGCATATAGTTTGCATGTTTAGGTTGCAGTTTCCATTAGATTAAGGTCAATTGCATTCTTAATTGTTATTCTTGCATATTAAATGTTAATTTGCAATATTTAGCTTCCGTTTTGATTAGTTTGAGTAGTTGAGTAGTATCTGTATATTAATTAAGTCATTCCAATTATAATCAAAGGTGAGACAATTTTAGTACTTGAATCATTCTTTTATAATCTGAGTGGGAATGATCTTTACTCACTAGTTCAATCTATGCATTTGTAGAAAATCAATCAAGTTTTTAGTGGTGTTTCCAAGATTAGTGCAACTAATTCAATATTGATACCAATCATCTTTTTTGTAGTTTGGAGTTTTTTTTTTTTCAATCTTGTTTGATCCATTTTGTTTTGCATGCAAGAGTTAAGAGTTCTAGTTTACTACCCTTAGATATTGAAATTGAGAAAACTCTTTAAAAAAATCAAAAAAGGGAAAAAGTAAGGGACTTTTAATCCACACATGGTCAACAACAAGAAAATAACAAGCGCTTCAAGACTATGTCATCCCACAATTAGATGGCTTTTAACCTAGCATTAGAAGGTTGGCCATTCAGGCCAAAAATTGTGAATTGAAGCCATCCATTATAAATATGATTCAGAACGCAATCCAATTTAGGGATTGCCTAGTAATGACCCCTAATTTGTTCTTGTCTAATTTTCTTGATATATGTGATACTTTTAAAAATAATGGTGTTACTGATAATATCATTAGACTAAGACTTTTTCCTTTTTTCTTTTAAGGACAAAATAGCGCTAGTTGACTTCTCTTCCATCAAGCTCCATCACTACATAAGATGACCTTGTTTAAAAGTTTCTAGCTAGATTGTTACCACTAGCCAAAATCGTCAAGATAAGGAATGATATCATAGCATTCCAACAATTTGAGGTCGAATCATTCTTTAATAAGTGGGAGAGATACAAGGAGCTATTAAAATGATGCCCACATCTTGGTTTCCCTAAGTGGTTGCAAGTCCAAATCTTCTAAAATGGGCTAGTACGATAAACTAAAACCACCGTAGATGTTGTTACTGGTAGAGCTTTGATAAGCAAGTCAATTGGTAAAACATATGATTTGATAGAGGAGATAGCCATGACAACTATGAATGGCCTAATCAAAGTTTAGTTCCAAAGAAATCAGCTAGGGTTTCTGAATTTGATGCATTTAGATCCTTTACCTTTCAAGTCATTGGCTTAGAAAAGAAAATTGTAACTCCAGAAACCAACTCTACACCCAATCTTGTCCAAGCCATCCAAATTCCTTTTGTCTTATTGCCTTATGTGATATTTGGGGAGGGGGTAAGAGGAAACAATTATACAAATAGATGTCTTATTAAAGCTGAATTTATCCAATTTGTTGCTTAGCCCTAGCAATAATTTAACCCATTCTCAAACAACTATAACCAATGTTGGAAACATCATCCAAACTTTTCTTGGGGAAATAACAAGGGTCAAACATCCAACTACTATCCTAAACCCAGGAATCCCTTTAGTTTTCATCAACCACCACCAGTACCACAATACCATCCACCACCTGCCTTAAGAAAAGAAGCTTTTCTTGGAAGAGATGTTTACCTAAATCCTTCAAAACTAGGAAACCTCTATTAAGAACTTAAAGGTGCTAGTGGGTTAACTAGCTAGTCCCATTGCAAACTAACCCTATGGAACCTTGCCTAGCGCTACCTAACAAAACCCAAATAGTTTACTTTGATCTTCTTTACATTCAACCATCCATCAAAACTACCAAATAACAGTTGGATAGTTGGTTGTTGGCCTATACAATTTTTGTTTACATGGTTTCCATTATTTATTTTCACTTCCAATCAATTAATCTTTTCATTTGTTTAAATATAACGCTAGTAAAATATCACCTTTCGTACTTGATTTTGCACCCAACACTTAAATCATAATCCTTATGGGAATGATACTTTAGTAACTCACTACTATTACTTGATGCAATATGTGCACTTGTAGGTTATATAAAAAGCAGCAGTCAACTACTCTTCAAAATTTTCAAAATTCATCTCTTATCCCATAACAATCTTAAGATTCTTTTTCGCATTCCTAAAAGTCAATTTTCTTCAAAAATCAAAATTTAGCATCCCAAAGCTTTTCCTTTTACCAAACCTATGACTTATTTTTCTTCGAAGATCCAAATTTAGCAACCCCAAATCTTTTCCCCTTAACAACCCTAATGCCATTTTTTTTTTCAAATCAAATCCAATCTTGGCAATCATGAGTTTTGTTATAGCAAATCTAGTGCCTTTATCTTTGGCATCCATAAAATTTCTCTAACAACCCCATGAATAAAATTCAAATTTGGCAATCCAGAATCATTTCCTCTTAACAATCCTAGGAGTCAATTTTTCAAAATCAAATTCAATTTCAACAATCTTAAGTCTTAGTCTGTTAAACCCAATGTATTTTTCTTTGGTACTCCTAGTGTTTTCTCCGATAGCTTCAAGAGTGAAATCTTTTGTTCAAGTTCTCATCATCTTTTTTAGCAAACTTGAAACACTCTAGCAAATTTAAACCTTTATCCTTCTTTTGGTAGCTTTAAAAGGAACAGTATCATTTCGTTTCAAAATATTATTGGCTTTGATCTCTTTGGAGTATGGAGGCAATCCAAAAATTGGTATGACTTAATTTCCTAATTCTTTTGTGCAAAATTCAAGTTTTTCTTCAAAGTTTCGACCTCTGCTTTTATCAAACTTGGTCAAAGAAGGCAAACTATAGGCATGAAAAGTTTCACCTTTAAAATTGGATTGCATTAACCAATTGTAACTTGATGAATAAGCAAATTTGATTTTGGCAGAGAAAGCTTGGTAATTTACACAAAGATCATTTAGTAGTTCTCTTATGCTATTAGGCTTTTTTATGTAGTTTTTAGGTTTTTTTCAAATTCCTTAGATAAGTTTTATCACTAAAAGTTGGCTTTAATATTCTAGAAGCCAAATTTATGCCCTTAAACTCCCCAAACTCATCCCCAAACCTCAAAGAACCTCAACTCCACCTTTGCCTTTTAACCTTGTATTAGTCGGCACTTGTGTTCACTAATCAACACATCCATGACCATACTAAACTAGATCTTGTCTATCTATTATCGCTATAATTTAATCCTAATCCATTGCATGACCTTTCAATCAAAATGTAACTTGATTATATTAAATTTAAATCTCATCTTCGCTTAGCAAGAATTCTTCCAAAACCTTTACATTGTAATCAAGATGGAATCAAAGCTTGACCTAATATTGTCCATCTTACAAAAATTTATATGAGCCTTACAATAGGTCCAATTTGGGTAAACCTTAAATTTTTCTCTTGAATAATCAAGCATATTAATTATGTAAACTTAGGAATGCATGATTTTCACTTTAAATTAAATATAGAAATCAACATATAGATCTTATATCCAGTCTTGCTTCAAATCATGTGGAATCTTATTTTAGGTTTCTTTTTACTTTGGTTCATTATTTTCTTAAAGCATGTCATTTAGTAGCATTTCTAGGGTTTGACTCAAGCAAGTATAATGCCTCGAAGGCAACTAATAATTAAATTTGACATATTCAACCATTGCTTTAGCTTTATCTTATTTATTTGCCTATTTTATGCTCTTTATTTAAATTGTATGTTTACATAATAATGGTCAAAAGATCACACAAGGTTGTTAGTTGCATATATCTCTTTAGATGCATGTGTGACAGTATACGACATTCACAATTATATGCTGGCATTAAATAAGTTACGAAATGTGATCTTTTATTGGAAAGCTTAACATTGTGTATCTAAAGTGAATAGTATAGGTAAGGTTATCCCAAACAAGGTTAGGAGCTTTGATTTCTTATAATTTAGTATATAATCTTCAAACCATATTATCTGGTAATAACAAGACTAATGGCCTTAGCGCTTATAATCAATTCCTACTTTATAACATAAACTAGGTAGTGACTCTAAAATCAAACCTAATAGCAAACAAAAGTGATAAGACTGAAACCCATTCTACTTAAATTATCACTAGCCAATTAACATCCCATTCAGTTGATCAACCAACATCCATTTCTATAATCGATCAACATTCCATCCAATTGATTGGTTCACAACTACTCTTAGCATGTAAATTATTCATAAAAATTGAATATATTAGAATAAAATGGCCAAACATGCTCTAAACTTTGTATGCCATTTGAGGAATAGTTTGAAGTGGAAAGTAAAAGTTGGGTTCATCCCAAGTGAAATTTAAAGCTTTGTTTCCTTTAATATTTTATATTCAATCTCCGAACCAAGTTATTTAGTAAAAACAAGATTGTGATCATGAAACTAGCATGAATTCTTAAGGTATAAATAAATCATTTAGCAACTCTAAATCAATTCTTGGATCTCAGAGTTGAGAGGAATATTAGGGGTGAAACATGCACCACTCACAGCTTCATCCCTCTTAAATGTATTTATAGTGAAGAATGAGATTCTGATTGTTTTGAGATGTTTTGCTTGTTGGTAGTGGAAGACTTTTGAGGAAATTTTAAAATATAGCCATTGTAGTCATTTTTCTAATAATCGAGCAGGGGAAGTTGAAAGCCATGGGTTGGGTAGTCGAATGCCATACTAAAATTTGAACTTCTTAGCTATTTTCCAAGAGTTAGTTGATTGCCTTATAAAGTGCAATATAATGCCTTAGGTTATTTTGCACTTGGTATAAGCATTCAACATGTGCAACTAAATATCATGTTTTAGGTAATCAAATGCCTTACAAATTTGTCAATTCTATCTAAAATTCTTCATGGGCATTCAAATTCTCTCTTGGGTAGTCAAATGCTTACATTCTTTGGCTCAAAAACTCATTTCTAGATAGTTGGACTTAATATTAAGCATAAGGCAGTTGAATGTTGCTTCCTGGATATGCCTTCTTTGTTTTTTTTTTATCAATAAATTATTTTAAAAAATTTACTTTTATATATTTTAAATACATGTTTTATATTTATATATTTTAATTTTTTGTTTTATCTATCTTAAAAAATAAAAAAATTTAAAAAAGAAAATGATTTGATTGCATTGAGAAGTGCAATACTTGAATCCCTTAAATGTTGAAAAACACCATTCTATGGTATTAATATTTGACAATTTGAAAAATCTATTGTTAGAGGTTTAAAACTTGATACTTAATTTCAATAACATCTGGTACAATATACATAATCTTCAACAGTCAATTGTTTGTTGAAATTATAGACCAAGATAAAGCAATCTAGTTAACATGGAGTGATGAACTCTTTATATAGAAAAGAGGCATAGACAAGATTTGATGCAATAGGGATAGGTATGAAATTAATAAGGAAATAATTGAAAGTGTTTTTCCTAATCTTTCAAATTGGGGACCAAGTGAAAACTAAAAACTACAAAGAATAAAAGATTATTCTCTCCAAAAAATATTTATATTTATATTAAAAAGATAGAGATATTACTTACAAACTTCTCACATATTGCATCAAGAAAAACTAACATGTGTAACAAAGTATAACCAAAAATCCTAGCATACATATCTATGGTCTATAAGAATCTCTAATGTAGCATTTGATCAAATAAAATAACAAACTACAGGAAGCCAATTGTTGTTCTTTATAAATATATGTAATTAGACTTTATAAGTTAAGTTTTGCTTTTGTGCAAAGTGCGTTGGTGCTCACCATTAATTAGCACAGTAGGGCTGCCACCTCCACTTGCACCAAATCCTCCTCTTCCACAACTTCCATTTCCACTAAATCCTTTTCCTCCATCATTGCCCATACTACCAACTCCACCACCACTTTCACCAGTTGTAACACCACTACCACTATGACCAAGCCCTTTTTTTTGTTACTCCACTTGCACTACTAGCTATAGTATCAAGATCAGTGTTACCATTTCCACCACTATTTCCACCTAACCCTCTTAATCTTCCTCCTACTTCACCTCCAACACCACCTTCACTATAAAAGTTACAAAGAAAAAAAATAATATTCTCTTTGACAAGTATTTATTTTGATATCAAGTAGATACAAATTGTTACTTACAAACTTCTCACACATTGCATGCAAGAAGAACTAACCTATGTTACAAAGTATAACCATAAACATTAATATATATATATATGTATATATGATTTATAAGAATATTTTATGTAGTGTTTGATCAAATAAAAGAATACACCATAAATAGCCAATTGTTGTTATTTGTAGAGATATTTAATTAGAGTTTAGTACTTCAGTTTTCTTTGCGTGAAAAGTGCAATAGTACCCATCAACATTTACTATAATAAAGCCGCCACCTCTTCTACTTCCACTTCCACTAAATCCTCCTCCCACACCTCCACTAAATCCTTTTCCTCCATCTCTGATAGCAGCTCCACCTCCAACACCAATTTTAGAACAAACACTAGCTTGCCACTAGTACCACCATTTCCAACAAGCCTTTCCCGTCATCTTGTTGCTCTACCTTCAAAACTAGCTCCAACACCACCTCTACTAAAAGTAGCAATGTTGTAACTTCCACCACTTGCAACATCTCATCCAACAAGCCCTCTTACTACTCTTGCTCCACCTCTAATGTTTTTCACCTTCCGTCTTGGCTCTAGGCAAAAATGAATTATGAAGCATATGATTGTCAACTTCATTGACATTATGATCATTTGTAACTACAAGACCATCCATAAGATGAACACAAAAGAAAGCACCCACAAAACAATGAGCAAAAAGACCCATCACTATCTAAAATTCAAAGCCAAAATTAACTCATAATAGTCAAATAGTAATATCAAACAAAAATAAGGAACTTTGAATATTGTTTCAATCTTTTGGATTTTTTTTAATCTTTTGTTTCTTTTTTGTTGGTTACTTTATTAAGAAGTGAATTACATATAGAGATAGGTTCAATTTACATAGAAACTAAATAAAAGGCCAAGCTTAAAGTAAGAGAGTAAAACTCATTGCACCATTCACTCAAAACTACGAACCATATTGTTAACCATTCAACTTGTCAACAAAATTTCTTCTCCATGTCCTTTCTTCAACCAACAATCAAACAAACCATACCAATTTTTCCCCTTATTCCTTATTTTTTTCTATCATGAAATTAATAACAAAAACATTTATTTTGGAAGTTAAAATAACGCTTGCAGCTATTTAAAGTAAACTAAAGCAACATCAACATTGGCAACACTAAGTCTAAATAAATCTTTATACAATGTTGCATGACCACATCAGGCAGTAAAATTTGTCCATTAGGCAACGATTGGTCAAGTCTCAAGCTTATCTAGGAGCAATGATATAAATATCTCTAATGATGTAGCAAACCAAAATATCTATATCAATTATATTATTCTTATGCGACAAACACTTGATAATGAACTAGGATCAAGAATTTAATGAAACATTTTTTAGTGAAACATATCTTTTTTAATTCCATATTCACAACTTTACTAAATAATTCAGATTCAATAGTGGTCTTAAGCTATTTCTTCTTCATAAAAGTACAATTAAAAAATTAACTAACCTTGAATATAAATTATCAATCAACCAAGTATGAACTAAGAAATAGAGATTTCAATTTAATTTGTAATAGTCAAGCTAAAGACGTTAAGATACAATTTATCTCAAATAGAAAACTACAACAAAAAATGTATAAAATGTCAATGGGTCAAATTATGAAATATAGCAGTGAGGCAGTAAGTGGTAGGCTAGACATGATAGATGTACTAATGTCCTTTTAGACATCATAAAGAAAATATGGTTAAAAATATAAGGATGCACACAAAAATTATATAGACTACACCATAAGATCCAACATACCACTCGAGCTTTGGTTGTTGATAGGGATACTTGACGCTTTGACTTGATAACTTTAAGTGACAATAATCTTTAACTAAAGATAGTCCTTTTTCACAAGTTTAAAACTTACACTAGCATATTAATAGGTATCTCAAAATGTTGTTATTTTATTTTATTGTTGGTACAATGAATAAATAGTTGATTCAAGATTTTATCTTATCGATTGATAAGATAGTCAATTTTTGTTACAAGTTTATGATGGCCACGTTTTTTGATGAAGAATTAGATGTTGATGGAATTGATCATGATTATGATTCAAAAATTATTGTAGATTTGACTAATAGGATTCATGATGAAGATCATAATGAAAAATATATGAATCAAGAGTGTATAGAACCATTTATCAAAATAGAGTTTCAATCATTGTAAAAAGCATTAGAGTACCATACTAGGCATGCAAAACTTCAAAGATTTGAAATTTGAAAGAGTCGTAAAATGAAATCTTGAAAAAAACTCAAGTGATCATTCAACACGAATTTATTTGTTTAAAGGTTGGTTATCATGCCAAAAAGTACCATGAAAAGGAAGATCAAGCACCATGGATCAAACATGAGTGGGATGCAAAGGCATAATTTATATGTCTAGGAAGTTGATGACAAATGGTTAATTTTTAGATTTGTAATAAACAACCCTTACGAGCTTGCTACTCTAACAACTACTAATTTTTTTATGCTCATAGGAAAAAAACTAGAGTTTAAAAAAATAATTGATGGTGTTTTTCCTAATCTTTCGAAATGGAAGCCAAGTGAAATATAAAAGCTACAGAAAAGAAAATAATGTTCTCTTTGATAAATATTTATATTGATATCAAGAAGATACAAATTATTGCTTACAAACTTCTCATGCATTGCATGTAGAAAGAACTAACCTTTGTTACAAAGTATAAGCATAAATCCAAATATATATATTACTTATAAATATCTCTTATGTAGTGGTTGATCAAATAAAAGAATCACCATAAATAGCAAATTGTTGTTATTTGTAACAATATTTAATTAGAGTTTACTAATTTACTTTTCTATGTTAAAATTGCATTAGTGCCCTTTTACTACAGTAGTGCCACCACCACCACTATTTCCACCTCCACTAAATCATTCTCTAGCACTTCCATCAAAACCTTTTTCTCCATCTTTGCCAGCATCTCCAACTCCACCACCACTTGTACCAATAGTAGCATCATTAGCACCTCCACCAATCCCTCTTCCCCCTGTTTTACCTTCATCACCAACTCCACCACCAACATTAGCATTGCCACTTCTAACACTATTTCTTTTAGGTGCTCCTTATCCTTTTCCTACTTCACCTCTAAAACTAGCTCTAACACCACCACCACTAATAGCACCAATGTTAACACCACCATCGTTTTCACTTGCAACAACATTTCCAACACCACCTCCACCAAGCCCTCTTATTCCTCATTTTTCATCTCTAGCATCAGCTCCACTAGTAATGCCATTGTTGGCACTTCCACTGAATTGCCCTTTCACTCTTTTTTTGCTCTACTTTCAACATTGGCTCCCTTGCTACTTCAAAAAGTAGCACTAATGCTACCACCACTTTTTAATCCATGTCGTACTTTTTTTGTAAGGCCTTCACCACCACCTAATCCACCTTGCCCACCACCAACATCACCCTTGCCCACCACCAACATCAAGACCAGTACCAGCATTGAGGCGATGTGAACTAGCAGCAGCTACACTGAGACTGCCTAAACCACCACCAGCTTTAAGGTGATGTGAACTAGCAGTAGTTGCATCGAGACTACCTAAACCACCACCAGCTTTAAGATGATGTTAACTAGCAGCAGTAACATCGAGATCACTTAAACCACCACCAGCATTAAGGCGATGTAAACTGATAGCAGCATTAAGACCGTCCAAACTAGTAGCAATCCTTGCACCATGATGTAAAGCATACATGGCAACCAATCCAGATCCAGTTGTTAAAGACCTCCTATGTCCTTTACTTTCTGTCTTGGCCTTAGGCAAAAATGAACTATGAAACACATGGTTATCAACTTCATTGACATTATGATCATCAATGATTGCAAGACCATCCATAAAAAGAACACATAAGAAAGCAACAATAAAAAAAGAGCAAAAACACCCATCGTTATCTAAAAGCTTCAACAAAAGTTAACAGACAATATTCGAATTGTAATGTCAAACAAAATAAAAAATTTTGAATATTGCCTTAATCTTTTGAATATTTTATCTTTTTTCCTTTTTTTTCTTGTTTGTTACTTTATCAAGAAATGAAATATTTATAAAGAAGGGATGGATTTACATAGAAACTAAATAAAAGGCCAAGCTTAAAGCACGAGAGTAAAAATTGTTGCACCATTCTCCTAAAAATAGAAACCATATTGTAAACCATTCAACTTGTTAATAGAATTTTTTCTCCATTTCTTTCTTCAACCAATAACTAAACAAATAATAACTTTTTCCATTATTCTCGATTTTGATTCTGTCATGAAATTAATAAAAAAAATATCTATTTTACATGTTAAAACAAAACATGCATTGTTTAGATAGTTAAATAAAACCAAAGCAACATCAACTATGACAACATTCAATCCAACCAAATCTTTGTCCAACGTTGCTCAGCCATCTTATGTAGTAAAATTTGCCAACATTATATGAAGCGATCAAGTGGTACACTTACCCAAGGACGATGATATAGACATTTCTAGTGATATATCAAATCAAAATGACTATATCAATTACACTCTTCTTATGCCACCCATACCAAATAACTAACCAGGTTCAAAGCCCTCTTTAGATTCTAAACTTGAGGGGCACTATGAAACATATAGGCCATCCTAGTTCACTACTAACAATGAATAAGTAGGCAAGAAAGGGAAGAAAAAGGTGTTATCAATGAGACTAGAATGGGAGCAAATTTAAATAAAATAAAGTCAATAATGAAGTTAGCAAATAATAAGTCTATGTTGTTAAAAAGGTAGACAAGGGATTTTAATCATAATTATTTGTCATTTTAGTTAAAAATAGGGATTGGATCATAAATGCAATTTATAAGAGGATGATGAGGATCAATATAGAGCATATGCTGGAGTTAAAATGTTAGATTTTATGGACAAGCCATAGAAGCCACTCACTAGGAATGTTAAGGTTCTGCTTGGCATTCTTAGACCTTATAGGTGCGTAGCATGAATTTCCATTTATACATTTTAAAATTTTTTTAAATTGAATTTTTATGGCAAATAAGTTATATTAAAAAAGTATACATAAAGCCCTTTTTTAATTAAGGTTTATCGATATCAAAATTGAGTTAACTCTATTTTTAAGGGTGTAAAGTCTTGAATAAACTCAAATTCTTTTGAATTAAGGTCTATATATGGCTATGTATGGTCAAAGCAATTATTCTATGCCATGTTAAAATCATGTCAACCTCTTACTATAGATATTGTATATATGACAGTTATGAATATAAATATATTAGTTGAGGTTTCTTTTTTTTTTTATAGCTATATATGCTAATTATGAATATAAATATATGAGTTGAGGTTTCCTTTTAAGCTATTATCTATAAAAGAATCTTGAAAGGCTTAAGAGGTTGATAGTTGTCCAAAATTATAGAATGACTTTGTTACTCCATAAATAATATAAATATTATAATGAACCTAATATTATAAAATGACTTTTTGACCCCTTGATTAGTATTAATCAAAAGGTTTAAAGCTGAAAATACTAAAAAGAATATTCAAGACTTTGATGGTTACTATCAGCTGACTATAAAAAGGCTATGATGAAGAGTTTAGAAAACTAAGAGTTCGATTAGTTTTTACTCAGGAGCAAAAAATGCAAAAAAAAAAATAATAATAATGATGGGACCTTAAAATAAAAAATTATTATGTGTCAACAATACCAGATCCAAAAAAATTAAAAAATAAAGAGAAACACAATTGAAAAATATTATGTAGGGCTGAAACTAACATGCATACATACATTTAATTGAATAAGAAAATAAATAATCAAAATAAATTATAAAAACCTAAAAGAAAGAAAGCCACTATCTAAAGTGCCATCACCAAATAGAAAACCACTATTTTTTTAACCCAAAAAACACATATTTCTTTAAACCCAAGAAGCCATAATGACTCTATGAGATATAATTATTTAAACTTATTTTTAGTGCTTAAATAATTGATTTTTGTGTTGTTCTTGGCTAAATCAGCTTTTTTTATTCATAATATGCTTAATTTATTGTTTTGTAAGAAATCTTAAAGAAAAGATTGAATCTTTTTCAATATTAAATTTTTTTTGAAAGTTTTTTATCAATCTCAGATGATTCTTGATACATTTAGATCAATCTTGGATGGTTCTTGATTTGTTCTTATTGATTCTTAGAGTTCTTAAAAAATATTAGAGTTAACTAGTGAAATTATTCAAGATTTGTTTAGCTGAATCTCAAGACATAAGATTGGATGAATCCTAATGAAAAATTCATGAAAGTCATGCGGGAATGAAGAATATGCAAGTTTGGCTACATAGGGATAGATTTAAATTTTAGAGAATTATGCGTAAGATCATGATGTTCCATATAGGTGTACACGCAGAGGATCATTATGGGATTACATGGTGAGAGATGACATTGATGTTGATTTGGCAAGATGATGTGGCATTGGAATTTAAATCTGTTTGGAGAGTAATAAATCAAAATTGGAGTATTCCTATTCTAAGTGGGAATTCAAAGCTTGAATATGAGAATTTTAAATTTTGAAATTTAAATCTATTCCTATTTGATGTAGAACTTGCAAGAGACTTTAAAAGATGGGGGTGGAATACTACGGGATTTAAATTTAAATTTTAAATTTTTTTCAAGAAGACTCCAACTTGAAACTAAAATCTTAGAAGTCTATTAGAAGCACAAAACCTACTTAAAGTTGAAAAATTGTTTCTAGGAAACTACCAAGGGTGCAAAAGTAATTACAATTTATTTTTTTCTCTTAAATAGCCTTAACTCTCTAGGATGAAGTTCTAAGAGACCATCTCATGACCAAGAAGAATTTTCACTTAAGCAGCTTGAAGAGCAAGTAGTTGCAAAATTCAAAACTTTTAAAGCTGCTCAAAGTCAAGAAAAGAGGAGACTTAATCTTCAAGAAAACTATTCAAAGTCATGATTTGCTAAGCTACGTAGAAGAGATACTAGCCAAACCACACTTTTCCTCTTTCAAAGAAGGTTAAATCGCACATCATTTTTATCTTTAAAGATATAAGTCAACCAAGAAAAACTAAGTCAGAAAAGTATGAGACAATTTATCAAGATTTATCCAAGTCAACACATAATTTAGTTAAGATTTGATCTACATGCATTCATAAGAAAAAGGTTAGCTTTAACAAAATGAAGATTCAAGTCATGAATAATTCTTCATATGACAATCCAAGCTTGGTTGAACCTAATCACTTTAAAAGATTAAGATCAAAGATTGTCGACCATTAATCTAGGGCTTCTTTGTATTCTTGTTCTATAAATAGTTAGCTTAGGTCGAAGAAAAAAGTATGATTGGGGTGATAGCTCAATCTCTAGTTATTTAGTTTTCCTTAATTATTGTTTTTGTCTTGTAAGCTTGTTTTAGTTCATGATTGGAGTGACAGACCAATCTCTCTATTTTATTAGATCTTTTCTTATTTTATTTTAAGGGTTTTATGTCCTTGAGTTTTTCTCTAGTTTGATTTTAATTTATGAAAGTTTGTTCTAGTTTTCAAGTTACTTTAAGTTCTATTTGCTTTCAATTTAAAAGATTTTTTATTCATGCTCTTATTCTTTACATCTATAATTTGTGATTCATTTTGGTTCTAGTTTATGCAATCTATTTACTATTTTCTCTTTAATTTGTTGTTTGTATGATTTAATTAATCAATTTTAATTCAATTTGAATGTTTTTATAATTAATACGATTTGGTTTTAAACTTAAGTGCTGGTTAGAGTTTAATTCACTTTAAATTGATTAGTTACATGTTTGTAAGATTAATTGGGTTTTAATTAAGTTTAATTCAGTCAAGTTAGGTTTAATTCATCTTATGTTTTTTGATTGCATGTTTTTAAAGTTATTTAGGTTCTGTTTTGCTTAATTGAGTTGAAATCAAGTTTAATTCATTGTAATTACATGTTTTAGGATTTAGTTAATTTAATTTGTTTTCTCTTGTTGTAATTTGAGTTTATTACTTTAGTATGTGATTATTGGATATTCATTTAGTTAAATTGCATGAGTTTAAGTTTAATTGGTTTCAGTTACAACTAGTTCTAATTCAATTCATCTAGATAATTTGATTTAAGGCATTGTTTGCTTTGCATGTTCAATTTAGTTTGATTTGCATGATTTTAAGTTTGATTTGTTTTAATTGCACTTGGTTTACCTTAATTCTTGTAGTTTAATTCGATTCTTATTTACTTTATTATGTTTGCATGTTTAATTGTTTACTTCGGTTATGTCATTAGCTAATTCATAACTTTTAGTTCTTAATTTCAATTAAAGCATATCATTTGCATGTTTAGGTTGTCGTTTGCATTAGATTAAGGTCAATTGCATTCTTAATTGTTATTCTTCCATATTAAATGTTAATTTGCATTATTTAGCTTCTATTTTGATTAGTTTGAGTAGTTTGAGTAGTATTTGCATATTAATTGAGTCCTCCAATTATAAACAAAGGTGAGACAATTTTAGTACTTGAATTACCTTTTTATAATCTGAGTGGGAATGATCTTTAGTCACTAGTTCAATCTATGCATTTGTAGAACATCAATCATGCTTATGGTGGTGTTTTCAGGATTAGTGCAACTAATTCAATATTGATACCGATCATCCTTTTTGTAGTTTGGAGTTTTTTTTTTTTTAATCTTGTTTGATCCATTTTGTTTTGCATGCAAGAGTTAAGAGTTCTAGTTTACTACCCTTAGTTATTGAAATTGGGAAAACTCATAAAAAAATCTAAAAAGGGAAAAAGTAAGAGACTTTTAATGCACATATGGTCAACAATAAGAAAATAACAAGAGCTTCAGGACTATGTCATCCCACAATTAGATGGCTTTTAACCTAGCATTAGGAGGTTGGCCATTCAAGCCAAAAACGTTGAATTGAAGCCATACATTATAAACATGATTCAAAATGCAATCCAATTTGGGGGTTGCCTAGTAATGACTCTGATTTGTTCTTGTCTAATTTTCTTAAAATATGTGATACTTTTAAACATAATGGTGTTACTGATAATGTCATTAGACTAAGACTTTTTTATTTTTCTCTTAAGGACAAGATAGCGCTAGTTGACTTCTCTTCCATCAAGCTCCATCACTACATGAGATGACCTTGTTCAAAAGTTTCTAGCCAGATTGTTACCATTGCCCAAAATTGTTAAGATAAGGAATGATATCATAGCATTCCAACAATTTGAGGTCGAATCATTCTTTAATACGTGGGAGAGATACAAGGAGTTATTAAGATGATGCCTATATATTGGTTTCCCTAAGTGGTTGCAAGTCCAGATCTTTTAAAACAAGCTAGTGCGATAAACTAAAACCACCATAGATGTTACTAGTAGAGTTTTGATAAGTAAGTCAATTGGTAAAATATATGATTTGATAGAAGAGATAGCCTTGATAACTATTAATGGCCTAATCATAGTTTTGTTACATAGAAATCAGTTGGGGTTTATGAATTGGAAGCATTTAGATCCCTTACTTTTCAAGTCTTTGCCTTAGCAAAGAAAATTGTAACTTGGGGAACCAACTCTACACCCAATCTTGTTCAAGCCATTCAAATTCCTTTTGTCTTATGGCCTTATGTGATATTTGGGGAAGGGGTAGGAGGGAACCATTCTAAAGATAGGTGTCTTATTAAAGCTAAATTTGTCCAATTTGTTGCTCAACCCTAATAACAGTTTAACCCATACTCAAACAATTATAACCAAGGTTGGAAACATCATCCAAACTTTTCTTGGGGAAATAACAAGGGTCAAACAACCAATTACCATCCTAAACCTAGGAATCCCTCTGGTTTTTATTAACCACCACTAAATCTCCACTAAATCCTCCTCCTACACCTCCATGAAATTATCTTCCTCCATCTTTGATAACAGCACTACCTCCAACACCAATTTCGAAATGAACACCGACATTGCCACTCATACCACTATTTTCAACAAGCTTTTTTTGTTATCCTCTTGCTCCACCTTTAAAACTAGTTCTAACACTACCTTTACTAGAAGCACCAATGTTGTCACTTCCACCACTTACATTTGTAGCACCACTTGCAACACCACCACTAGCAAGCCCTCTTACTCCTCTTACTCCACCTCTAATGTTTTTCACCTTTTGTCTTGGCTTTAGGCAAAAATGAACTATGAAGTACGTGGTTGTCAACTTCATTAACATTATGGCCATCAACAACTATAAGATCATTCACAAGAAGAACACAAAAGAAAGCACCCATAAAGGAATAAGCAAAAAAAAACCTTTATTATCTAAAATCTAAAACCAAAGTTAACTCACTATAGTCAAATAGTAATATCAAACAAAAATATGAAACTATAAATATTGTTTCAATCTTTTGGATTTTTTTTGTCTTTTGTCACTTTTTTGTTTATCAAGAAATGAATTATATATAGAGATGGGTTAAATCTACATAAAGACTAAATAAAAGGCCAAGCTTAAAGTAAATGAGTAAAATTTGATGCACCATTCACTCAAAAATAGAAACCATATTGTTAACCATTCAACTTGTCAACATAATTTCTTCTCAATTTCCTTTCTTCAACCAACAATCAAACAAACAATACAATTTTTCCCATTATTCTCTATTTTTATTCTATCATGAAATTAATAACAAAAACATTTATTTTGAAAGTTAAAATAACTCTTGCTAACAAAAGCAACATCAACATTGGCAACATTAAGTCCAAATAATTTCTTATACAATATTGCATGACCACATCAGGCAGTAAAATTTATCTGTTGCACAACAATCGATCAAGTGGTGAGCTTATCTAGGAACAACGATATAGATATCTCTAATGTTGTAGCAAACCAAAATATCTATATCAATGCCACAAACACTTGATAACCAACTAGGATTAAGAATTGAATGAAACATATTTTTAGTGAAACATATGTTTTTTAATTCCATATTCACAACTTTGCTTAATTATTTAGATTCAATAATGGTCTTCAACTTGTTCTTCTTCACAAAAGTACAATTAAAAAATTAACTAACCTTGATTATAAATTATCAATTAATAGAGTAGGAACCAAGAAATAGAGATTTTAATTTAATATGTAATAGTCAAGCTAGAAACATTAACATACAATGTATCAGAAATAGAAAACAACAAGAAGAAATGTATAAAATGTCAATGGGTAGAATTATGAAATATAGGAGTGAAGTAGTAAGTGGTAGGCTAGACATGATAGATGTACTAATGTCCTATTAGACATCATAAAGAAAATATGGTTAAAAATATAAAGATGCACACATAAATTATATAAATTACACCATAAGATCTAACACACCATTCGAGCTTTGGTTATTGATAGGAATACTTGTTGCTTTGACTTGATAACTTTAAGCAACAGTAATCTTTAACTAAAGATAGTCCTACTCATAAGTTTAAAATTTACACTAGCCTATTAATAGGTTAGCTCATATTGTTGTTATTTTATTTCATTGTTGATAAAATGATCAATAGTTGATTCAAATTTTTATCTTATTGATTGATAAGATTGTCAATTTCTATTATAAATTTATGATACCATGTTTTCTGATAAAGAATTAGATGTTAATGGAATTGATCATGATTATGATTCTAAAATTATTATAGATTTGACTGATAGGAATCATGATGAAGATAATAATGAAAAAAAATGAATTAAGAGTGTATAGAACCATTGATCAAAATAGAGTTTCAATTGTTTTAGAAAGCGTTAGAGTACTATACTAAACATGCAAAACTTGAAAGATTTGGAATTTGAAAGAGTTGTAAAATGAAATCTCGAAAAAAACTCACATGATCATTCGACGTGAATTTATTTGGTTAAAGGTGGGTTATCGTGCTAAAAAATATCATGAAAGAGAAATCAAGCCTTATGGATCAGACATGAGTGGAATGCAAAGGCATAATTTATGTGTCTAAAAAGTTGGTGACAAATGGTTACTTTTAGATTTATAATAGACAACCCTCACGAGCTTGCTACTCCAACAATTGCTAAATTTTTGTGTGCTCATAGGAAAAAAACTAGAGTTCCAAAAATATTTGATGGTGTTTTTCCTAATCTTTCAAAATGGGTGCCAAGTGAAATATAAAAGCTACAAAGAAATATTAATATTCTTTTTGATAAATATTGATATTGATATCAAGAAGATATAAATTATTGCTTACAAACTTCTCACGCATTGCATATAGGAAGAATTAACCTTTGTTAGAAAGTATAACATTAAATCCTAATATATATCTCTATATTATCTATAAAAATCTCTTATGTAGTGGTTGATCAAATAAAAGAATGCACCATAAATAGCCAATTGTTATTAGTTGTAAGGATATGTAATTAGAGTTTACTACTTGAGTTTTCTATGTTAAAATTACATTAGTGCCCTTTTACTACAGTAATGCCACCACCTCCAATAAATCCTTCTCCTACACCTCCATTAAAACCTTTTTCCTCCATCTTTGCCAACAATTCGAACTCTACCACCACTCACACCAATAGTAGCATCATTGCCACCTCCATCAATCTTTTTCCCCCTGCTTCACCTTTATTACCAACTCCACCACTAACACTAGTGTTGCCACTTCTAACACTATTTTCATTAGGTGCTCCTCATCCTTCTGGTACTTCTACTCCAAAGCTAGCTCTAACACTACCTTCACTAGTAGCACCAATGTTGCCACCTCCATCATTTGCACTTGTAGCAGCACTTCCAACACCACCTCTACTAAGCCCTCTTACTATTTCTTTGTCACCTCCAACACTAGCTCCACTAGTAATGCCATTGCTAGCACTTCCACCAAGTTGTCCTCCCACTCATTCTTTTGCTCCACCTCTAACATTAGCTCCACCACTATTTTGAAAAATAGCACTAATGCTACCACTTCAACGAAGACTACTACCACTTTTTAATCTACTTTGTACTCCACTCGTTAGGCCTTCACCACTACCTAATCCACCTTGCCTACCACCAACATAAAGACCATCTAAATCGTGACTAGCATTGAGGCAATGTAAACCAACAGTAGCATCAAGAGTACCTAAAACAGTAGCAATACTTGCACCATGATATAAAGCATCCATGGCAAGCAGTCTAGATCTAGTTGTTAAAGATCTCATATGTTTTTTACTTTCTATCATGGCATTAGGCAAAAATGAACTATAAAGCACATGGTTCTCAACTTTATTGACATTATGATCATTAGCAATTGCAAAACCATTCGGAAAAGAACACAAAAGAAAACAACCACAAAAAGAATGAATAAAAAGACTTAGGATTATCTAAAGGCTTAAGAAAAGTTAACTCACAATAGTTGAATTGTAATGTCAAACAAAATAAAGAATTTTGAATACTGCCCTAATCTTTTGGAAATTTTGTCTTTTTTTTTTTTTCTTGTTTGTTACTTTATCAAGAAATGAAATATTTATAGAGAGGTGTTGGATTTACATAGAAATCAAATAAAAGGCCAAGCTTAAAGCACGAGGTGAAAAATCATTGCACCATTCTTTTAAAAATAGAAACCATATTATAAACCATTCAACTTGTTAATGGAATTTTTTCCCTATTGCCTTTCCTCAACCAATAACTGAACAAACAATACATTTTTTCCATTATTCTCATTTTTAATTGTCATGAAATTGATAAAAAAAAGAGTCTATTTTGCATGTTAAAACAAAGTGTGCATTGTTTAGATAGTTAAATAAAACCAAAGCAACATCAACAATGGCAACATTCAGTCCAAACAAATTTTTATCCAACATTGCTTAGCCACTTTAGGTAGTAAATTTTGCCAACATGATATGAAGTGATCAAGTGGTAAGCTTACCTAAAGATGATGATATAGACATTTCTAGTGATATATCAAACCAAAATGACTATATCAATTACACTCTTCCTATGCTACCCATAACTAATAACCAACCTAGGTTAGGGCCCTTTTTAGATTTTAAACTTGAAAGGCACTATGGAACATATGGGGCATCTTAGTTCACTACTAACAGTGAATAAGTAAGCTAGAAAATGATGAGAAAGGTGGTGTGAATGAGCCTAGAATAAGGGTAGATTTAGATAGAAAGATGTCAATAATGAAGTTAGCAAATAATAAGTCTATGTTGTTAAAAAGATAGACAAAGAATTTTGATAATAATTGTTTATCATTTTAGTCAAAAATAGAGATTGGATCAAAAATGCATTTTATAAGAGGATGATGAGGATCAAATAGAGCATATATAAAAGTTAAAATATCAAATTTTATGGACAAGCCATAGAAGCCACTCACTAAGAAGGTTAAGGTTCTACCTAGCATTCTTAGGCCTTATAAGTGCACAACATGAATTTCTATAGCAAATAAGTCACATTAAAAAATGTACATAGAGCCTTTTTTTATTTAAGGTATATCAATATCAAAATTGAGTTAACTCTATTTTTAAAGGGCTAAAGTCTTGAATAAACTTAAATTCTTTTGAATTAAGGTCTATATATGGCTATGTATAGTCAAAGTAATTATTTTATGCCATGTTGAAATCATGTCAACCTCTTACTATAGATATTGTATATAGCTATATATGACAGTTTTGAATATAAATATATTAGTTGAAGTTTGTTTTTTTATAGCTATATATGATAGTTATAAATATAAATATATGAGTTGAGGTTTCTTTTTAAGCTATTATCTATTAAAAGAATCTCAAAAGGCTAAAAAGGTTAATAGTTGTCCAACATTGTAGAATGACTTTTTTACTCCGTAAGTAATATAAATATTATAATGAACTCAATATTATAAAATAACTTTTTTACCCCTTGATTAGTATTAACCAAAAATTTTAAAGCAGAAAATACTAAAAAGAATATTCAAGACTTTGATGGTTGCTGTTAGCTAATTATAAAAAGGCTATGTTGAAGAGTTTAGAAAACTAAGAGTTTAAATAGTTTTTACTTAGGAGCAAAAATTTAAAAAAAAAAGGAAAAGAAAAATAATGATGAGACCTTAAAATAAAAAATTATTATGTGTCAACAATACCAAATCCAAGGAAATTAAAAAACAAAGAGAAACGCAATTGAAAACTATTATGTAGGGCTGAAACTAACATGCATACATACATATAATTGAATAGAAAAATAAATAATCAAAACAAACTATAAAAACCTAAAAGAAAGAAACCCACTATCTAAACTGCCACCACCAAATAGAAAACCTCTATTTTTTAACCCAAAAAACTCATATTTCTTTAAAGCCAAGAAACCATAATGACTTTATGAAATATAGTTATTTAGACTTATTTTTAGTGCTTAAATAATTGATTTTTGCATTGTTCTTGGCTAAATGAGCTTTTTTTACTTGTTATATGCTTTATTTGTTGTTTTGTAGGAAATCTTGAAGAAAAGATTGAATCTTGTTAAATATTAAAGTTTTTTGAAAGTTCTTGATCAATCTCGGATGATTCTTGATACCTTTAAATCAATCTTGGATGGTTCTTGATTTACTCTTGTTGATTCTTAAAGTTCTTCAAAAATCCTAGAGTTAACTGGTGAAATTATTCAAGATTTGTTTAATCGAATCTCAAGACTTAAGATTGGATGAATCCTAATGAAAAATTCATGAAAGTCATGTAGGAATGAAGAATATACAAGTTTGGCTACATAGGGATAGATTTAAATTTTAGAGAATTGAGTGCAAGATCATGGTGTTCTATGTAGGTGTACATGCATAGGATCATTGTGGGATTACATGGTGAAAGATACTTTGATGTTGATTTAGCAAGATGACATGACATTGGAATTTAAATCTGTTTGGAGAGCATTATACCAAAATTGGAGTATTCCTATTCTAAGTTAGAGGTCAAAGTTTGAATATAAGAATTTTAAAATTCAAAATTTAAAACTGTTACTATTTGAAGTAGAACTTGCAGAAGACTTTAAAAGATGGAGGCAGAATACTAAGTGTTTTAAATTCAAATTTTAAATTTTTTTCAAGAAGACTCGAACTTGAAGCTAAAATCTTAGAAGTCTGCCAAAAACATAAAACTTACTTCAAGTTGAAAAATGGTTTCTAGAAAGCTACCAAGGATTCAAAAGTAATTACAATTTATTCTTTTCTCTTAAATAGCCCTAGCTCTTCAAGATGAAGTTCTAGAAGACCATTTCTTGACCAAGAAGAACTTTTACTTAAGTAGCTTGAAGAACAAGCAACTAAAAAATTCAAAACTTTTAAAGCTACTCAAAGTCAAGAAAAAATGAGACTTAATCTTTAAGAAAACTATTCAAAGTCATGATTTGTTAAGCTACTTAAAAGAGATACTAGCCAAACCACACTTTTCCTCTCTCATAAAAGGTTAAATCACACATCATTTTTATCTTTGAAGATGTAAGTCAACCAAGAAAATACAAGTTAGAAAAGTATGAGGCAAGTTAGCAAGATTTATCCAAGTTAGCATATAATTTAATCAAGATTTGGTCTACATGCATTCATAAGAAAATGATCAACCTCAACAAAGTAAAGATTCAAGTCAAGAATACTTCTTTATGTAACAATCCAAACTTGGTTTAACCTAATCGCTTCAAAAGATTAAGATCAAAGATTGCCGACCATTAGTCTAGGGTTTCTATGTATTCTTATTCTATAAATAGTAAGCTTAGGCTTAAAGAAAAAGTATGGCTGGGGTGATAGCTCAATCTCTAATTATTTAGCTTTTCTTTATTGTTGTTTTTCTCTTGTAAGCTTGTTTTAGTTCATGACTGGGGTGAAAGACCAATCTCTCTAATTTATTAGATTTCATATTGTTTTCTTTTAAAGTTTTTATGTCCTTAAGCTTTTCTCTAGTTTGATTTTAGTTTATGAAAGTTTAGTTCTAGTTTTCAAGTTACTTTAAGTTCTATTTGCTTTCAATTTAAAAGATTTTTGATTAATGCTTTTAATCTCTACATCTATAATTTATGATTCATTTTGGTTGTTGTTCATGCAATCTATTTACTATTTTCTCTTTAATTTGATGTTTGTATGATTTAATTAATTAGGTTTAATTCGATTAGAATGTTCTTATAATTAATCTGATTTGGTTTTAAACTTAAGTGTTGGTTAGGGTTTAATTCACTTTAACTTGATTAGTTACATGTTTTTAAGGTCAATTGGGTTTTAATTGAGTCAAGTTAGGTTTAAATCATCTTAAGTTTTTTGATTGCATGTTTTTAAAGTTATTTAGCTTCTGTTTTGCTTAATTAAGTTGAAATCAAGTTTAATTCATAGTAATTACATGTTTTAGGATTTAATTAATTTAATTTGTTTTTACTCGTTGGAAATTCAATTTATTAGTTTAGTTTATGATTATTGCATATTCTTTTAGTTAAATTGCATGAGTTTAAGTTTAATTGGTTTAAGTTACAACTAGTTTTTAATTCAATTCATCTAGATAATTTGATTTAGAGCTTTGTTAGCTTTGCATGTTCAATTTAGTTTGATTTGCATGATTTTAAGTTTGATTTGTTTTAATTGCATTTGGTTTACCTTAATTTTTGTAGTTTAATTTGGTTCTTATTTACTTTCTTATGTTTGCATGTTTAATTGTTTACTTAGGTCACTTCATTAGCTAATTCATAACTTTTAGTTCTTAATTTCAATTAAGCATATAGTTTGCATGTTTGGGTTGATGTTTACATTAGAATAAGGTCAATTGCGTTCTTAACTATTATTCTTGCACATTAGATGTTAATTTGCATTATTTAGCTTCTGGTTTGATTAGTTTGGATAGTTTGAGTAGTATTTGCATATTATTTGAGGTCTCCAATTATAAACAAAGGTGAGACAATTTTAGTACTTGAATCACTCTTTTACAATCTTAGTGGGAATGATCTTTACTTACTAGCTCAATCTATGCATTTGAAGAAAATCAATCAAGTTTTTGGTGGTGCAACCAAGATTAGTGCAACTAATTCAATATTGATACCAATCATCTTTTTTGTAGTTTGAAGTTTTTTTCTTTTTAATCTGTTTGATAAATTTTGTTTTGCATGCAAGTGCTGAGAGTTCTAGTTTACTAGCCTTAGATAAAGAAATTGAGAAAACTCTTAAAAAAATTAAAAAAGGGAAAAAGCAAGGGATTTTTAATCCACACATGGCCGAACA